TTGCGCTTTTCTCTCCACTCGTATCATCGTCAGCCCGCAAATATCTTGGATGTTATCGCTCAGTCTTGTCTTCGGTTTGCCTCTTCCCCTGTTTCCTATCACCAGCAAGTTCTTCTCAAGACTTTCACTTCTCATCACATGACCAATAAACTTTAACTTCCTTTTGTTCAAGATGTCCAACAGTCGGTCCTTACAATTTATTTTTCTCAGCACTTCATCATTCGCTTTCTTTTCTGCCCAGCTAATACGCAGTACTCGTCTGTAACACCACAGTTCAAAACGATTGACCTTTTTCTTGTCTATCTTTTTCAGCACCCAACACTCAGAACCATATAACGCAATTGGGAAAACTAATGAGTTCAATAACCTCAGTTTTGCCCTTAAGGCAATGCTTCGGTCTTTCCAGATGTTACTTGAGAGCAACTGTGGCGTTTTTATCTAGCAGCTGTTGTAGTTCAGTCATATTGCTGGCAATTAAAACTATATCATCGGTGTATCTTAGATTTGATTTTTTGAATCCTCCAGCATCTACAGTTCCTTCAAAATTCTCTAGAGCATTTCTCATAATTGTTTCAAAATACATATTGCTGAGACAGAATGCAACCTAGTCGTACTCCTTGGTTAACTTCGAACCATTTATTTAACCCGTAAGTGGTTCTTACAGCTGCTTGTTGTTGGTCATACATGACTTTTATTAGTTGGATGATGTGTTTTGGAAATTTCATATCGTTCATGTTATTCCAGAGGATATCGTGATCAAAAGCTTTCGAGTAATCGATGAAACACAGGTATAGGTCTCTCTGATGTTCTCAGTTTTTCTCTATGATCAATTTCAGATTTAGGATCTGGTTTCTGGTACCTTTTCCAGGGCGAAAACTTACTTGTTCATCTGCAATTTCTTCTCGTAACTTTAACTTCATTCTTTCAGCAATAATTTTTTTAAAATGCTGCTGTGACTTATTAATGCAATTGTCCTGTTGTTCCTGCATTGGAGTGCGTCACCCTTTTTAGGGTTAGGAGTAAAAACGGATTTTACCCAGTCTTCTGGCCATCTTCTTTCATTCCAAATTCTCGTACAAATTTTGTAAAAAAAGTATTCAACACTTTCGCCAGCATTCTTGATTAGTTCTGTTGTTATTTCATCTATTCCTGGGTCTTATTATTCTTTAATTCTTATATGGCTTTTCTAACTTCGTCAAGCAGCTAGGGCGGTTCATCTTCGCTGTCATCGATTCTAAATAATGTTGTTGTTAGATCTTCATTCTTTTTGTATATGTTGGAACAGCAATGATTCCATCTATCGTTGACTTCTTTTCCATCACATAAAACTAGACCATTTTCAGTTCTGATAGTGTCCATTGTGGGCTTAAATTTTCGTGTAATGTATCGCACTTCTTGGTAGAGTTCTTTAGTTGTCTTGTTGATAGAGCAGTTTTCTATTCTCTGGCAATGCTCATTTAAATATTTTTCCTTATCTCGTCGCAACAATCTTTGAATTTATGCATTTTGTTTTTTGTATATCACTTGTTCAACTGGATTATTGATACCCTTTGATTTGAGGTAGCTTCTTGCTTCAATTTTACTTAGTGTTTCTTCAGATATCCAAGGGGAATTTTTTTCTTTTTTTTCTTTTTGGCTATAGTTTCTTTGGCAGCGCTCAGCAGGAGTTCTTTCCCTTCTTCCCACAACTCATTTAGAGTTTTATTATCTTCACACTGATTTAGCAATTCAAATTTGTTTGACATTGTAATTCTGTAATTGTTGTCAAGGGTTTTGTAGTCGAGCTTCAGAGGTGGTGTTGGACGCTCCATCCTTTTTGAGTCTTTTTTGAAAGTCGATAGTTAGTAGTGGTCACTGTTGCAGTCGGCACCGGGTCTTGTCCTGGCATTTTTCATACTTTTCCATTTCTGCTTCAACACAATGTAGTCAATTTGGTTGCGTGTTCCTTTGTCTAGTGAAACCCACGTGTACAAATGTGTTGGGTGGTGTTGGAACAATGTGTTGCCTATAACTAGATTATTTACACTACAGAATTCATTGAAGTCTTCACCTCTTTCATTTATATCTCCAAGGCTGAATTTTCCACAGATTTCATTCTTTAGATCATTTTTGCCTACTTTGGCGTTGAGGTCTCCTATAATTACTTTTACATCTCTGTTAGGGATTGTGTCTAAAGTTTCTTGGAGAGTGTTATGAACATTTTCCATTTCTTCATCACTTGCAAGGTTGGTTGGTGCGTAGCATTGGATAATACTAATGTTATGCCCGCATACGTGCCCGTATATAAGTTTAGACTCGCATGTGTATTTATATATATATGTATATATATATGTATATATATATATATATATATATATATGTATATATGTATATATGTATATATGTACGTATGTACGTATGTACGTATGTACGTATGTACGTACATATGTACGTATGTACGTATGTACGTATGTACGTATGTACGTATGTACGTATATATGTATATATGTATATATGTATA